TTTATTCCAGCACATTCGATAATGGAGTATATAAGTTAAGAATATAAACACATGACACAATACATATTAATGGACATAATAGATTATATTTATTTTATTATTAGTAATATAATATAATAGAAAATAAACTTGACGAACTAATTTAGTATCATTTAGACAGATTGTAAACATCATAGTAATGGTTATCATCACTTCAACTGTATTCAGTAAAGCTACCTTAATCCACTATCGTGTTTCCTTCCACTTCAAAAATAAATGATGACAAATGATATACATTCGAAACAAATCCTTTCATTATTCAAATATGGGTAGAAAAAAATTATTCGGTTTCATTTTTATTCCCGTCAATATAAAATAAAATAAAATTTTAAGCTATTCAAGACAACTTAATGAGTTAAATAGGATTTACTTTTCAGCAATGTTTCAAAAACATTATTGATTTTGACATTAAAAATTAACGTTTTACTATTTTACGTAGAATTAAAGAATGTTTTGTTTTTTCTTCTTAATAAAAATCAAATTATTAAATTAAAATAATCTCGGATTATTAAGAAAATAAAATCATTCACGAAAACTCTTCTACGGTTTCCTGAGATTCGATACGATTTACATAATTAGTTTTTTAGAAAATAAATACAACTTTAAACTTCACATTTTATTTATAAAAGTCTATGAAGTAAGTAAAAATCATAAATAATTTCTTTAAAAATATAGTTAAAATTTATTGGCTTAGACATAAAAATCATTTAAATTTGATAGATCAGAAATTATTATTCATTAAATAATATATAATAGTAAATTATATAACATGTAAATATAAATGTAATAAATGTTGTTTACTTTGTTTACATGTATTATTTATTTGAATGATTTATCTTACTTATTCAGTTCGGAATAGGATTCAATTTATTATAAAGTTATTTGTATAAATTTTATAACTGTATGATAATTTACCTTTCGTTAAAATTAGAAATTTAAGAGTGACACGCTTGTTTGCCTTATTATTATATATTTACTTATATTAATACTATGATTTTTAAACAGGAGTGCCGCAATGACACTTTAAAAGTGACACAAAATATAGTGATGAGCAACAGCATAACACTTTTTACGTGTATTATTTAAAAGTCAGTTAACTCTAAGTTATACATAAGAATAATTAAAACTGGCGTGGGAGAGTTTCGTATTATTCGTGCCTTAATTATTTCAAATTGAATTTAAACCTCGATATATCGCCATTCTCGTACTGCGCCAATCAACGTTTGTGAAAGATCTCAATAATTATCCTTCATTATCATTAAATTGTCAAATAATAGATTTTGCATTGAAAAGGACGTTGTTATCACAAAATCACGCAACTTTCTTGTGTGTACTTGTGTGTACATTTCGTTAATATAAATAATTTTCAGTATTTAAGAATCTTCGGTTCAATTCCACACTTGTCTTAGTGTCAATTATAGAGAGGAACAAGAAAAAGTGCTGGCGCTATATCGAGGTTTAACTTATATTCGTGTTAATGAAGCTTTGAGACATTCTGTAACTATTTTCCTTCTGAGATTAGACTATATAAACAAAATATCATACAGTCATTTAATAATAATTACTAATATATTGATAAATAATTTATATAATACATAATTTAGTAATAATTAATATACATTCAACATGCCCGAGAATAAATTTCTGCATAGTAATTATTATTATTATTAATAACATATTATATATGTATATAATATGTGCTATATATATAATTTTTATTGGACAGAAACTTTAATATTATCACTTTATTATTTTTGAGTTGTATTAATCTATAATTTGAGTTTATAAAATCGAACTTATATTACAGTCGACTCCCCTACAACACTGTTGATAATTCCGTTTTATATGAATTCCATGTTGTATGAGTCACTTAGATTTTACAAATACGAGCTGTGAACGGCTCACGTATTTGTAAAAAATTAAGTGACTCGTACAACATGGAATTCATATAAAACGGAATTATCAACAGTGTTATAGGGGGTCGACTGTATTCTGACATCGTTACAATGCCGTGCTGCAATTTTTAATCATATTTTCATTAAAAATTCACGTGACTTTCGGTCCAAACTGAAAATTCGCATATAGTTAATCGGCGCCTCCATATCTGATCTTGATTTTCACCTATCTAATTTCGTTCTCGAGATTAAGAAGGACAGACAAACAAACGGACGACAGTAGGAATGTATAGGTCTGTTAATCGAAAATTTCAACCCAATTATATTCATTATAACATATATTTTGTTTAATTACATAATATTTAAACGAAATTTCATTAAAAGCTCTTTAGCGTGTCATAGTAATAATTTAAGAATTTAATAAAAGAATTAAAATAAAAACAAATCAACAAAAATTATAATTATTAAATGAGTTTTCGAATATATATATGAGAAAATTAAGTTTCAAAATGTTATTACAGATTTTAATTTTAGTATTTTATCAACTAAACTAATTTAAACTGTTTAAACTAAACATTTATAATTTAAAATAAGAATGAATTAATTAATTTTTCTCAACATTATATTTAAAAAGATTCGTGAATTATTAGACAATAAATAATTAAAAGTAATTATTTATATAATTAAAATAATTTAGTAAAAATAATTATTTATATTAAATATAGCTCGTAATTATTTAAGATTCAAAACAATTAGGTGTGTATTAAATACAAAAAATATTAAACGATAAAATGACATATTTCGAAATTAGAAAGAGTTTTATTGTATTGTATAAAATAAAATTGCATTGTAATAATATTGTTTAAATAAGCAAATAAATTGTAAATATAAAGATCAATTGTTTATTGTGATATCGTCACAATCCCAATTTTTAATCATATTTTTAATTTATTTAATTTAAAATATATGCTCTCCACCTCAAATTAGCAGTGGATTGCCCCCGTATATCATACTTTTACGTTAGCAATGAAGTGTGGATCTTCTAACTTCTTTCCGCGGAATTTTGAATTAAAATAACATGACTTTCGGTTTGCACTGGAAATTCATATATAGTTAATCGGGGCCTCCTGCCGTATGCTTTCTAAATCTGATCTCGATTTCGATCTATCTAATACAATTTTCCAGATTAAGAAACGATAGACAGACTGACAGGAATTTATAGGTCTACAATTTTTTTTCAAATTACACCCAACAACACGTTTCCTCATTAGAAATTTCCTTCTTTAATGCTCCAGGAATGTTTACAAAATTCATTAATTATAATGAATTAAATCCCACCAAACAATATAACAAAATTAAATAAATATAAGCACAAGTAAATAAACAGTAGAAAAGTTTTATTTTGATCTTTGAAAATAAAATAATATAAAAGAAATATTTTTATATAATGGAAAATTTTCACTAGAGTTTAATATAAATGGTATAGCAAATAGATAAATTCTTTCGATGTATCTCAATCGACAATTGAACGAGGAAAAGCAGAAAAATAACATTAGATGAACATTTACACATTAAGCTTTCGATTCTGGAGGAAGGTCACAAAACCCGCACACAACTAATTTAGAGCAATCATAGATAAAATTTAAAAAATATTCTCTACTAATTTAGAATATTCTTCTCAATTTAATATTAAATAGATCTCATTTACTTTAACAAAATATTAAATTATTGTTATTCATAAACGAAAAGATTTTGTCTTAGGATATTTACAAATAATTAATTTAATTTTGTACGGAGAAGCTTTTAACAAACATACAGCGTAATTATATTTAAAAGAAGAATTTTATAATTAAATTTTATACATTTACTTCTCATTTTCATTAAATAAATCTATCTCGTGAGTGCTGAACATGTTTAAAGCACTAATAAAATCATAGGTAACAGAAACGAGTCCTTTAATGTTAACATTCTAAATAACTTTATTGCTGTAAAATATATAGAAAACTCTTAATAAAGTTTATTAGTACATAGTTTCTTCTTACCATGTCCATAATTTAGACGAGTTTCTCAGTAAGTTATAGTAGAAAACAGGTAATTCTGATAATAGTAGAGTTCACTAATATAATCGAGAGATAGTTGATGTCATGACTTGTGCTAGGAGTAAGAAATCGTGAGAATTCAGATCAGATTCTGCTGATAATCCCCAAGATTTCATTTAGAATTCCTTAAGGTGCACCAATGCGGTCGCTTTGGTATGTCTTATGAGTTTTTTTTAAAATGTCATTTCGATACGGTTTAGAACTTAGGAAAATTTTACATTAACATACACAATATTAGGAGAAATAAATAAATCAATAATACATTTGTAACAAAATTAAATAAAAAAGTATATGCATATTTTATATGATTATTTAATAATTAAAAAAAACAGTTTAAACTTTCGAGGACATTTAAATAAGCTATAATTGACAATAAATAATTATCGCTGTTAAATTTGAAGGAATTAAATACAAGATTAACAAGGATAATGTTTCTCCTAGATATTCGTTAATTTTTGATGCTTATTAGAATGAATTGAGTTATAAAACTTTTCAAATTAAATTTATTATAATATCTTCGTAATTTTATATTTAACAATTAAGTTATATGTTTTAAATTTTAAAATTAAAAGGAGGGAATTTTCGAAAAATATGTGAAAATCTTTAATCACTTAAAACATAAATTTGTTCGATTTTCTGAATGTTGAATTTGTGGAATTTTATAAAGTCGTATCTCAACTTTAAGAAAAATAAATTATAAATTATTTTACTGACAATTTTATATTTGTTCTGTTAATTCTTTGCGTATGATAAGATTTTTATTACAGATGAAGGATATAATCAATGAGAAATAGACTAAATCCAATCATAACTTAATGGGATTTCTTCTTCGAATATTAATAAAACATGAAATTGTCTGTAAAGTGTAATTTTTGTATATTGCAAGAAAAAAAATCCATTATAAAAAGTTTTAAAAGCTAGTTTATATTTGTCTTCGTTCTGAAAGATAACACAATATAATGTTCCATCACACTCTATATAATATAACATATAAATTTTTAATATTTAGCAATTTTTTACGTTTTTGTTTATAATGTAATAAATTCACTTTTTCTATATCGATATCTGCTCTCACTTCCATAAGGAATAATCGAATAAGTAGATTCAGAGTAAATTACAGCTAATAAATTTAACTTGGTAACAATCAAATCAGTAAGATAATTCAGTAAAATAAAACTAGTTTATTTTGCTAGACAATATACACAAAAATTCACCTTCATTCTGATTTACAATTTCAGACTGAAAGGAAATATTGTATTTTATTTTATTAACATAAAATAAATTATATCCATTGTTTTGTATTCATTAAAAATATATTTTATCTTTAATCAGTTTTGTAAAATATCAAAACAAACAATTTAACTAATGAATACAGGATAAATCATAACAGTATAATTTTTGTAAATTAAATGAATTACATATCTAAATAATTACTTCATTAAAATATAAAAAAAAATGATACACATTTATTTTATAGAAATAATTTGTTTTACTAATTAATTAATTTAATA